TGTTTTCCAAATTCGAATTATATAAATTCGGATTAATCCCGTAGTGTAGACATACCCCTGGATTCCAGTGATGCACTGTTTTCCAAAGGCTCTTATACAATAATGTAAAGTAAGGACCTCCTTAGAATATATTAAAACCCACGAAGAAATACATTAATATACAACATTGCGGGTATTACTGCAATTCTATGCTTACATCAGATTGCTGGTTATTCTGTGTTTGAGCCATTTGCTGATTGTCACTTTCTATCAACTTTTTTCTGCAGTCTCTGCTTTCTTTTCTTTCATCTTTCCGTCCCTCTGTATGGTGGACTGACTCTTTTGAAATACCAGTGGTTCCATCTTCACCTTAAATATAACAAGTGCACAATTACTATCAACAATTTATTCATAAATCAATTCAGGAATTAAGATTTTCAATCAGTTGTTACTTGCTCCTATCCTTGGCCCACTAGAAGTTAGATTTATTGACCTTGTGACTTCTGCAAAGCCCATTTTTTCTTTTCTCTTCTCAAGCTATTAAGTAGAGCAGGGGTTGGCAACCTTTCAGAAGTGGTGTGCTGAGTCTTCATTTATTCACTCTAGTTTAAGATTTTTAGTGCCAGTAATACATTTTAATGTTTTTAGAAGGTCTCTTTCTCTAAGTCTATAATATAACACTAAACTATTGTTGTATGTAAAGTAAATAAGGGAGCTGGAATGGCAAAGAGGAGTGGTGCTCAACTTCTCCAGCCTGGGTGCCTGGGGACAGGGGAAAGACTGAGTGACTAAAGCTCTTTTCTAAGTAGCATAGATGTATGTGCTCCGCATATTCCTATGTTTCTCAGTTCACTTCTGAATCCAACTCAAGATACTGGTCCTAAAGAAATATGGAAAGGATATATTAAGGCTTGTCTTCACTACTGGGATAAGTCAACCTAAGTTATGCTACTTCAACTATGTGAATAACATAGCTGGAGTAGACGTAGCTTAGGTTGACTTACGCGGTGTCTTCACTGCGCTGCATTGACAGGAGACGCTCTCTGGTTGACTTACCTTACTCTTCTTGTAGAGGTGGAGTACCGGAGTCAACCCGAGAGCGCTCTGTAGTCGATTTAGCAGGTCTTCACTAGACCCGCTAAATCAACAGCCGCTGCATCGATTGCAGCAGCGTGGATCTCCCCGGTAGTGAAGACAAGTCCTCAGACTGTCTCTGCATTCATGATCCATGAAGACAACTGCACTTATGAGAAACACAAATTATTGTAAAACATTTTATCACTAAGGCAAAGATGTATTGGGATGAGTTCTAATCAAATTGATTTCAGAGTTCAGTTGTAAAACCCACCTTTTTTATAGTAGTCTACACAACATAGAAATCGGGGAATGAATAATAGAAAGGGAAGGGATGAAAGAAGAGGACAACCAAACAGATTTCTCTTGATATAAACATCTAAACCAGTATATCAAAAATAGAATGCACAAGTCCACTTCAAGTTTGCATTCACGTTATTCTTAAATTCTGTATCTAGGGCACTCAAGCAAAGAGAGTGGAAACCACTTTAAATTGGGGAAAGAGGTGGAAACGAATGAGCTGCCATTAGGGGTACAGCTGACATAGCTGGCTCCTATGAATCCCCTCCGTCAGCTCCTCTTCAGGGGTAAAGGGTATAGTGAAGTAGGAAGGGCAGGAAACGGGGAATGAACAGAGAGCAATGTGATATGGTATCCCCAACTGACATTTGGCCCCTTGAGAAGTACGGTAGCTGGTTAAAGTCCGCTAGCAGAAAAAAATGTAAAGTGTAGTCCATTTTCACAAAAATCAGGCCAGATCACTGGTACACTTTGGCTGCTTTGTGCCACTCCAGCAGTGCAAATATGTAAATCTAGTTTAACTGCTGTGACGGACTCAGACCAGAAGGCTATAAAAGAGTAGCGGAAGGCAAATATATCAGCCTCAGGACTGTTCCCTAGGTAGCCAAACAAAGGCTACTCCAGGCCAATCAAGTCACCTGGTGCCAATTAAACCAGTTAAGGTCATTGGGCTAATGCAGGCTCCTGACTCCAATTAACCAGCAAAGGGTCAGTTAAGGATGGTAGGCTAATGGAGACAGCTCATTCAAAGTCCTACTCATACTGCTTAAAAGCTCTCCTTCCAGTCCCCTCAAGGATGCCCAGGTGAAAGGAACTGGAGGAGAGGAAGTGTTGCTGAAGCCTGAGGTAAGGGTGAAGCTGGGAAAAGGGGATTACGGGGAAGTGGCCCAGGGAGCGTCAGCGGTGAACAGGAAGCTGGCCAACTGCTGCTACCATTAGGGTCCCTGGGCTGGAACCCGGAGTAGAGGGTGGGCCCCAGTTCCCTCTTTCCCCCCATGATCTACAGAGATCCCCTTGAGAGGGGAAGCAGACTTTGGTCCAGGCAGGAGGCTGAACTGTGCCTACTGAGCTCTAAGGAGCAACAGAGACTGTGGGTATTCCACCTTCCCACCTCTCATACTGGCCTGTGATGAAAGTAGCTCAATAAGCTGTGACCTTTGCGGATAAAATAAGAAAGGGAGGTCACACTGAGGGCCTTAGCGAGCTTCTGAGGCTACTGAACCCACCAATACAGGCTCGGAGCTTTGTCCCACGGGCCAATAATTCTTCAGATGGCCTCAACAGGTTCTTCATAATGAAAATTAGTTGTTTGATTTCTATCTTGTTTTCATGCAAAGACTTAACAGGAGAGTTTCATAAGACAAAAATAACTTCCCTGATGGAGAGTGTGTGGAAAAAGCTACACTGTATAATTTAAACCTATTATTCATAGAAATTGAATTAATACAACAGAGTAACTGCTTGTCAGGAGGTAGGAAAGTTCAGTTTGTTGTGTGACATGTTAAAAGTTCAAAAAACCAGCTACAGAGCATTAAAAACTCCATTTGCTTGCAAAAATATAAAGCCAGAAGTAGATTAGAAAACATATCTTTAAAGAACAGGATACATATAAGACTATGCCATCTCCTATCCTGGCTCAAGAAATTGAGAGATAATAAACCAGATATATAGGGATCCACTAAAATGGTTATTAAAAAGATATACATATGAATCATTTGGAAGTATAGGAAAAGTTTTAATATGGAATTTTAAAATTGCTTATTTATCGAGAAAGCACAGTGAAGCACTATCAAATACTTGAATATTTTGAAATCCTACCTGATTTTCTGCCTTGATATTCTGCACCAGATTCTGACTGTGATGTTGAAATACGCTTGAGAAGTTGATGTCCACAGCTTACAGAATAAACAAGACAAGGAACAATATTAGCTTATTTCTCTCTCTTTTCCACTTCTGATTGCTGTATAAATACTACAGTTACTATGCTATTATTCAGATACTTGCAGTCATATCACCTTGGTAAATCTCATAAAGCAAGCAGGATTGGGCCTGGCCAATACTTTAGATAAGGAACCTTCACTGTGCTACCAGAAGTAGTGTTGGTCATTTAAAAGGTGACTGAATCAGAACAGAATTATTTCCCAAACATGGGGGATCCCTTCCTCTCCTAAAACATACAGTATAGAACTCCAAGTACAGAATGGTTGCCACATTCAATTACAGAGCAATGAAATATGTAAAGTGTATTTACAGCCCTTCCTGATAACAGATGCTACATATACATATGGATATAAATTAGTATGAGAAGTTATCTTTCACAGCTATATCAAGTTTCCTTAGGAAAAAAGGGAATTAGTATGATTTTTCATATAAAAGTATGGATAATTACAGCATATAACAATTTGCTTTTATACTTTTGAATACTTCCGAGGGTTTACAGTACCTGTTACAAGTATAGCTTGTAGAAGCTTTAACTTGTTGCTGAAAATCTGGAGAATTAAATGTATATCCCAGAGGTTTATGTAAATTAACACTTGGCTTAGTAAGAAAATCAGCAGTATCAGGAAATTCTACAGGTGACCGACTGACAAGGGATCCACTGGAGATAGAACCAATAGGACTCAGGCTAGGGGAAGTACCTGCAAAAACATACATGTAGTAATTTACTGAGCATTTCTTTAGACTACATTAAAAAAACAATGTTTTTGAAAGATCAAAATGAAAGATATAAGAAAATTCTGTAGCTTAATAAGAACAAAGTGATAGGTGAAAAATACTATAGATGGATTAAACTATTAAATACATATTAGACATCAAGATTTATTCACTGTTTTGGTTTTATACACAAGCAATACAGGGTAGGCTGCACATCTGAGTAATTTGTTGGGTGCCTGCTCTGTTCAGTGTTTAAGCTTCTCCATATAAAAACTGTATATCGGCTTCTGGAAGAGATTTGAACTCACAGATTTTCAATGGAGATCTCATATAGAAGTATGTGTAAAACCTAACTTTTTGTTTAGTAATTTGGTTTTAATGTATGTGTTTTTAATACTTATGTTAGGAGGTGCTTCCCTTACACTTCCCTTTATAAGACCCTGTTTTCAGTTGCTTGTGATTTTGCTGAACTGTAACTGTTTGCTAGGGTTACCATACGTCCGGATTTCCCCGGACATGTCCTCCTTTTGTGTGCTAAAAATAGCGTCCGGGGGGAATTTGTAAAGCATTCAC